GCAGCCCCAGCCCCCCACCCGCAGCCCAGCTCACATCATAGAGCGCTGCGCTGTGGCCCTGCTCCTGCAGCTGGTAGAGCGTGGGGTTGAGGAAGCCCAGGGGTGCCAGCCCCCGCTGCAGGCGCCGGTCATTGATGAGTGCCACCATGCCTGCCACCACGGGGGTGGATGCCTGCGGGAGACACGAGCACCTCAGCATCCGGCTGCTTGGCCACTGTGGGCCAGCACAGGGCTGTCCTCCTCACCGATGTCCCCGACACCCAGGGCAGTGGGATGCGGTTTGTCACCACCCAGTAGTTGTCGGAGAGGGCGGACAGGTCAGGGTAGGCACGACCGCTGCTGTTGTAGTAGGAGCTGGGAGGCAGCTTGGAGGCCAAGTGGAAGAAACGCTGTACTGCAGCAGCCTGGGGAGAGACAAGATCATCAAATCACAGCATGGTTTGGGTTGGAAGGGACCTTAAAGGCCATCTAGTCCAACCCCCTGCCCTGGGCAGGGACACCTTCAACTAGACCAGGTTGCTCAGAGCCCCGTCCTGCCTGACCTGGAATGTTTCCAGGGATGGGGCAGCCACCACCTCTCTAGGCAACCTGCGCCAGGGGCTCACCACCCTCAGTGTAAAACATTTCCTCTTTATATGTGGTCTGAATCTGCTGTCTTTCAGTTTAAAACCATTACCCCTTGTCCTATTGCAACAGGCCCTGATAAAACGTTTGTCCCCATCTTTCTTATGAGCTTCCTTTAGGCACTGAAAGGCCACAGTAAGGTCTTCCCAAAGCCTTCTCTTCTCCAGGCTGAACAACCCCAACTCTCTCAGCCTGTCCTCACTGCAGAGGTGCTCCAGCCCTCAGATCATCTTCGTGGCCCTCCTCTGGACCCGCTCCAACAGGACCATGTCTTTCCTGTGCTGAGGGTTCCGAGGCAGCACTGCAGGGGGGTCTCCCCAGAGCAGAGCACAGCAGAGGGGCACAGTCCCCCCTCACCCTGCTGGCCACGCTGCTGGGGATGCAGCCCGGGATGCGGGGGGCTCACTGGGCTGCCGGCGCACGTTGCCTGCTCATGGCTAGCTTTTCCCCTCCCAGTACCCCCACGTCCTCCTCAGGGCTGCTCTCCATCTCTCCATCCCCAGACTGTGCTGGTACCGGGGGCTGCCCTGACCCAGCGCCACACAGCCCCCGACCCAGCTGCAGCCCCGGGGTCTGGCAGCGCAGGCAACTCCTCACCTGGTAACTGGGCATGGGGAAGACGTTGCTGAAGCCTCCCCCGCTAATGTAGTCCGTCACCTCTGCGGTCACCAGGAAGGGGTTCTTGAAGGACGTTCCGCCCACGGTGGTGACGTAGGGACTGGGGGGACAGGAGGGCATTGCGGGTGGGCACACGACTGCCTGGGGCCACAGCAGCACCCCAGGCACTAGTCCCCTCCCAAGGAGCTGCACAGGTCCCCCCAGCTCTGAGGTCTGCAAACATCCCCAGGCACGCTGGAGGGGCTGATCCTCAGGAGTCACTCAGAGAGGCTCAAAACCCACTCGAGGCAGCAGCGGGCCATGGGCGGGGCCTCCAAGTGCCAGCAGCAGCCCTCAGCTGGCGCGGGCTGTGGGTGCGCCACAGTAGCCAGCTCTGCGCAGAGCCTCACGTCTCCACCGCACCCAGGTTCACCTCCCCACACCTACCTTGAGGCTGGAAAGCTGGGCCGGAAAGTGTGGTTCCCTCCGGGCACCCTTCTGCACCCAGCACCATCGTCGCCTGCCGACAGGGACAGACCGGGTAAGCCGGCAGCATCCGAGTGGCCACTCCACCACCAAATGCTCCCGGGAGCGACCTGGGGGAGGGCGCTCTCCACCTCCCAGTCTGGGATTCCCTGGAGGGGATCCGGGCTGCCCAGAGGCGGAGCGGCCCTGTTTGGTGTTCAGCACGGAGGTTCCCCGCTGCGCTGGCACCCTTGGACACACCTGCACCGTGACAGCTACAGCACCCACCTGAGGCAAACAGGATGGTCAAGCCCCGGGCAGCTGCCTTCATGAACTCCACGTTCACACGCTCCATGTAGGCTAGTGACAGGCTATCCTCGTCATCCCCGTAGCTCACAGAGTGCACCCACGGCAGCGCCGACATATTGCTGAGCAGCAGCAGCCAGGCCAGGAAGGGCTCCTGGCTCTCGTGCCTCCCTGCAGAGACAGAGCGGTGGCAGGTTCAGCTCCTCCTAGGACACCAGGCCTGAGGGGAAGCAGAAGATAGCACAGGGGGAAACCCTGCCTCAACAGGACCACTGAAGGTCCTCCAGCTCCTGCCCTGCCTACAGAGAGCAGACCCACAGCACAGCTGGTTGGGAGCTCTCTCAGGAGCTCTTGCCAGCAGCACAGCTGATCCGGGGGATCCCCACGGTGGATGGCACAAGGCTCCAGTGCTGCCAGCAGGTCTGGTGACAGGGTCGCCCCGAACCCCAGGGCAGGGGGTCTACGCTCATCCACGCCTTCTCTGAGCACATTGCAGGGCTGTAGCCACCCTTGGCATCCATGCTGCCCTTCCAACAGCCAGCCAAGCCCTGGCCTCTCTACCCGTAACAGCGGGTCCCAGAGCAGTTTGATGGACATTCCACCTCCATCTGCCAAGGTCCCTTCCTGCCCCTCATCCTGCTCCATGAGGTGGGGAGAGCAGAGCCACAGCCACCCTTTCTCCCTCTCAGTTGTTCACATTACTGCCTGTCTCTGCACCCTCTCCACATCACTAATTGCACGGAGGAGGTGGAAGTTAATGCAGAGCTGTGCCTGCCTTCACCATCAGGAAGACGGAGCTGCTCCGTCTCCTGTTTAGCCAGTCTCTGACCTGGCACAGATGACACTGTCCTACAGCACCGTAGCCATGTTTGTGCAGGCTGTTTTGCAACCTTGTTTTCTCAAATTGCGTGACTCTCCTTTATTCACTCTACTGGTAGATTCATGGGTGAGAAATCAGCTTCAACCTCAAAGAAGCAGGAAAAAAACCAGAAAGACACAGTTGCTGCGCTCTCCCTCCATGGAAAGGCAGCAGAGTGGGGTGACTGCTTGACATTGTGCAGTCGAGGTGTGGAAGTCCCTGTTCCAGGATACTCTGGATGCTGAAAGTTCACACGGGTTCAAAAGCAGCTACACAATTCAGTGGAAGATGATTTCCCTACGAGCATTTAGAAACAAGCTCCAGCTCCAATTCTGGATTCCCACAAGGTATGCGCCCACAGTAGCTGGCACAGCATTCTGGGGATGTACCACAGCCGCCGTGCAGTCCCTGTATGCCCCTCTAGGCATTCCCCTTTGACAGACGGCAGATAGACTCAGTACAGCCATTCTTTTCAGCAAGCAAGCATTTCCCTAAATAGCAGGCAGGTGTGCAAGTGCTACAGCAAGTGGGATGCACAGAAACAGTCACAGGGCAACTCTGTAGGGGGATCAATACCTGCATTGCTGAAGACCCACGTGGAGATGTTGGCACCCGTGCTCATGATGTATTCCACATCCAGACTGGCCTCCAGCCCAGCCTTGCCCTTGCCCTGGTGCCCGACCACGTGGTCAACCTGAGAGCGGTGGCCAAAGCTGCTGCCAAAGAGCTGCATAAACTCAGCCAGGTCAGCCTGGTGGAAATACTGTTCCAAAAACTGGGGGGACAAGGAACGGACAAGTTTTTTCTCATTTTCTCTTGAAAAAACAAGGCAAGTTTTTTCTTCTGACTTAGAAAGTTGGCCCAGCATGGGTCTGTGAAACGCTAGCTCATAAGGTGCTCCCACTAGCCGCCGAGAAATCCCCACCACTATCCTGGGACCACCAGAGCAGCAAGGTGCTGGAGGAGTGCCAGTGTGTGGAATTCCCACAGCCTAAGGGCCTCTGACCTGGACCGGCTCCACCGGTTACCTGGGCACAGGCCTGGCTGTTGTTTGGCAGTAGCCCGATGTCTCCTCCCGTCATGTTGTATCTCTTACGAATGATGGAAGGTGTCACACCCAGGTGGAAAGCCGCTCTCTCTCCATAGTGCTGCCTTGACTCCGCTTCCTTCCTGGCCCAGGATCTGCTGACCACCTTCCTCTCCGCGGGGAACCGGTGCAGGCCACCCACTGGCACACAAGCAAGCAGAAAAAGCATCTGTTAGGGCCCAGAACCCCGGGAGGACAGCGTTATAGCCCCTTGGCTCCCCCTTCACCATCCTGACTCAGGCTTCATGTCCGAGGGCTGGCCTGCAGCAGGGCTCGGGGGAGCCCATCCCCTGCGGCACATGCCCTGAGTGCTGCACAGGAGGTGGGGAAGCACTCCCTCGGTTTCCTCACCAGCCCTCAGATACTCACAGGCTGCACAGCTCAGTCTCCCCACTGCCAGGCCACTAGTGCAGCCTGGCACCCTTCTGCTCTCCTCGTGGGACCCCACGCAAAAGGGACTCATGGGAGGAAGTTTTTCCACCTCAGAAGCAGCTGCGCATCCACAGAGACAGGCTGCACCTGAACTCCCCGCCCTGAGCATCCAGGACCAAGAGCACCAGTAAGAAACACTTACTTTGGGTGCTGCCTGTCCACATCATAGAATCATGGAATAGTTTGGGTGGGAAGGGACCTTTAAAGGCCACCTAGTCCAACTCTCCCTGCCATGGGGCAGGACATCTTCAACTAGAACAGGTTGCCCAGAGCCCCGTCCAACCTGACCTTGAAATTTCCAGGGATGCAGCACCTACATCCTCAGGGAGGTAGAGGGGCAACCGGGACCATGGCTGGAGGATCTGACACACTGTCCTCTGGGGCACCGAGATGGCCAGTCCTGGCTGCTCAATGGTTAACCTCCCGCCCACGCCCCAGGCACCGAGGGGTCTGTGCAGCCTCAGCTCCCCTGTGTAGGGTGTAGGACGTACCAAAGTCAACATGCTCAGCCAGTTCCTCGGGGACAGTATAGGGCAGCGGGGAGCGCACAACACTGCGCTGGCCTTTCACGTAGCGGTGGAACTCAGCCCCTGGCAAGAGGCGCTCAGCCGTGCTGCAACACACGGAGAGTCACCACGTGAGGATTCCTGCCACCAGGACAGCTGTCAATGGCCTGTCCAGCAGCATGCCTGTTCTCTGCCCTGCCTCCTGCACCCTTTCCTCCCCGCTTGCTGCTGGAATGAGTCAGGGATGAGCTCCACTTCCCACCAGCACAGCTGACCTTGTAAAGCAAAGAGCACCTTCCATACTTGACCAGTTCCCATCACCACACGGAACCAGAGCTCTGACGCTGCAGGATCCCCTGCAACTCTATCCCCAGTCGCCCAGTGAGGACTCTGTGGCCCCACAGAAGGCAAGAGGAGGTGCAGGGCTGGCCCAAGCACCTCATGGACACACGCGCCTTGTTTCCAGTGCTCCAGACCACCGGCTGTGACTCCCCACAGCACTGGGAGCAGGCACACAGGTGGCCAGCTCTGGGCTGCGGAGCCCTCAAAGCCTGGGTAGAGACGTGGCTCAGCCCAGCCTGCTCCACAGAGCCCTGGGCACAGGAAGGCGTAGTGGGCAGGGGCAGGGTCTGGCTTCTCCTGTCTGTGGGACTGGCACGGCCACCACAGCGGGGCCCAGCGCCCCCCAGGGCTCACCTCGCTGGCATGTGGCACTCCAGGAAATCGAGGGTGGTCACGCTCCTGCAGTTCTCAACACCATGGCCTTGCAGCCACTTCAGCACTGCCATGAGTGTGGCTGGGGACGGCTGGACAAGGTCCCGCACCTGCTCCAGGGACAGGTACTTGCCTGCGAGGCACAGAGAGAATCAGAGCACCCTGTCTGCAGGGCCTGATGGGGCCTGGCAGGGCTCAGGTGCACAGTTGTTACCGTATCGTGGCGAGTGGGGGTCTGAGACGGCATCGACGAGCCGGGCAAGGCGCCCCGTGCC